TCTTCTATCTTAGTTGTGTTAGACATATTTTCTCATAAGGCAACATGTTTTTGATTCACCCACAGGTATAACATATATCTCTCTGAAAATCATTTGTGGATGCAGTCTGGAAATATCTGTGATTAAAGCTTTCACGCTATAACAAAACAATTAGGAAGACATATTGGAAATTTACCCGGATCCCTTTGTGATGTTTGCAATATCATGCACTCATCTTAAGACTAATCATAGAATGGTTTGGGTTATGAGTCCTTAATGATCACCTAGTTCCAGCCCCCTGCTGTGGACAGGGACACCTTTCATTAGACCAGGTTGCTCAGAGTCCCATCCAGTCTGGCCTTGAACACTTCCAGGAATGGGGCAGCCACAGCTTCTGTGGGCAATATTTTCTAGTGCCTCACCAATCTCACAATTAAGAATTTCTCACTGATATCTAATCCACCTATTGTCTTTAAGTTTGAAACCATTCCCCCTTGTTCTGTGTCTATGTGCTTTTTTAAATAGCCTCTCTTCCTTGTAGGCTCCCTTCAGGTGTTGGAAGGCCACAGTTAGGTGACCACAAAGGCTTTTCTTGCCCATGCTCACCAATCCCAATTCTATAAGCCTTTCCTCAAAGGAGATGTGTTCCATGTCTCTAATCATCTTGGCGGTCCTTCTCCAGACTTGCTTCAACAAGTTGCTCCACAGCTCCTTCTTGTGCTGGGGACCCCAGAGCTGGATGCAACACTCCAGGACAGGTCTCATCAGAGTAGAGCAGAGGGCAGAATCCCCTCCCTTGCCCTGCTGGCCACGCTGCTTTGGATGTAGCCCAGGACACATTTGACTTTCTGGGGAGCAAGAGCACGCTGCAGGATTATGCACAGCCTATCATCCCCAAGTTGCTCTTGGCAGGGCTGCTCTCCATCTATTCATCCCCCATCTTGTATTGATACTGAAGGTTGCCCTGACTCAGATTCAGCATCTTGCATTTGGTCTTACAAGGTTCCCATGTGGCCACTTGTTGAGCTTATCCAAGTGCCTCTGAGAGGTATCCAATCCTTCTGATGTGTCAAGCACACCTTTTAGCTTAGGGCAATGGTGTGAATATGCATGTTAAAGCTTTACTTAATTCTTTAAGTAGGTTTCTGCTGAAGGACGTTTGGTCTTCTTCTGGACTCCTGTAAAGCCTTTGAATGTGTCCCTCACAGCCTTCTCTCTAACTTGGACAAAGATGGAGCTGATAGGTGGACTGATAGGTGGATGAGGAATTGGTTGAATGGGCACATCCAGAGGGTAATGGTCAATGTCTCTGAGTCCCAATGGATATCAGGGACAAGTAGTGTTCCTCATGGTTCAATGTTGGTAGCAGGGCTACTGGTACCAGGGCTATTTAATATCTTCATTAATTACATGGAGGGATCGAGTATGCTCTTGGCAAATTTGCAGATGACACCAAGCTGAGTGATGTGGTATTTTATCACAGAATCATGGAGTGGTTGGGGCCGGAAGGGACCTCTGGAGATCATCTGGTCCTACCTCCCCAAGAAAGCAGGTTTACCTACAGCAGGTTGTACAGGATTGAGTCCAGGCAGGTTTTGAACATCTCTAGAGAAAGAGACTCCATAACATCTCTGTGCAGACTGTTCCAGAAGCTTTCCCTTGTTTTCAGGTGGAACTTCCTGTGTTTCAGTCTGTGCTCATTGCCTCTTGTCCTTTTGCTGGGTACCACTGAAAATAGTATGGTCCCATTCTCTTGACACCCATCTTTATGATAACTTGTTTAGCCCTTCACAGAAAATGCTGCATTTTGTAATCTCTTTACAATATTCCTACAAACCCTCAAATTTTAACTGTAACAAAAATACCAGAAAGGACTGTTAACTAACAAGGAAACAGTGGAAACCCCGTGTAGTGCTCAAAACGCAACCATTCACATAGATTGTCCTACTACACAGGGCTTTTGTACTGAGTATAATTAACTCTCATGAGACAAGATTTCTTTAGTCTTGTATCATTGGTATGCTATGCTGGAGCAGGAAACTGAAAAGAGTATCTCCTTTTGGAAGAGGAGCATAGCCATACCTGTACCTACTACACCATTTGGGAGCCAATTCATGGCAGCCCAGTGGCCCCTGGGCCTTTGAATACAGGCAGCTGGAGTTATTATCAGTACAGTGTGCACAAAGAGGAGTGACTCCTCCTTACATGCAAGCTAGACTTACATGGTGAATTGACTTGAATTTAAATCTACTGACAGATATATTATATTGACATATATTTATTTAAAATTCTTTCTTTTGTGGTATTCCTTGCAACACAGTCTGAGTGAAAATTATTATGAGAAGAGAGTCCTCCGTTTCCTTCAGGCCAAATGAAAATCTAAAGGGTCAGATCTATATATGAGAAAATCCCACAAAGTAATACAACAAAGGTGAACATCTTCACCCCTCTGTTGTTCTTCTGATAAATATTTAAAGGAAAATTTTGAACAAAATCCCCCTATGCATATAATTTTACTTTACAATTTATTTTTGAATTTCAAGATTGAAATATGTTTCCATTTCAGAAGCAACAAGAAGTTTAAAAAAAAATCAGCAATAGTTAGAAGACCTAAATATAGTCTTAGATAACTAATTTATCTTCCAATGTGACACCATGTCTAAGAGGAAGAATCCTTTATTTCTTTTGTAGAGCCCTTTAGACTCACAGATGAAAAAAAAGGATATGAAAAATATTTAACTGTAGAAGTATGTAAATATCTAGCAGGGAGAGTCAACCTTTTTAACAGTAGTATGTGCATGATTTTTAAAACATCTAATGAGATAAAGATGACCTTCCAAGAAGGTCTGAGAAATGTATAATGCAATGAATATTTCAATAATATGAGTCTACTATTTCATTTCTTCCAGAGAAGACTAATAGGTGACTTGATCACTGTTCAGAGATATTTGTCTGGACAACAATATTCTTACAGTTATCTTATGTAATGCAAAAAAAGCCTTTTTTGAAGCCTGAAGCTAGTTGCGGTATGACTATGGTAACTGATATATTTTAAAAAGAATGTAATCATTGCATGAATATTTCCCTGAAATTATGCTGTTGTATTGTTTTTTGGGTTTGTGCCTTTTTTTTTTTATTTGAAATTTCTTTTATAGAGGTTCCTACTAGTTTTTCCATGCAGGGCACAGCACTTAAGAGTAAGGTGTAAAGTTCAATTCATGTTCTCTCTGTGCAATGCAAATAAACCATCAAGGGCATTCAGAAAAATACTTATATCTTGCTAATATTTCACTAAATGACCGAAAAGACAAGAATTATTCAGTTATAAAATCTTATCATTCCAAATTACTTGGGGCCTCTTATTTTGTGGTATAAGCCTATCTACTATGTCTTATCACCAGAATTGTCTATCAAATAATGAAATTATTGTTTTGTTTCTATTTTTAATTTTTTTAAAATTTTATTTTAATTCCTATTTTTTTATTAAGTGATGAGGGAACGGTCCCAGAAATATCAGGTGTCCTGATATTTGAGTGACATCTGGATCATGGAATTTTGGAATGATAAACTTGGCCATGATATCCACAAAAGAAACTGAACAGAAATTTCTCTTATGATTAAAAAAGTTGATACAGGTCCATTATTCAACACTGGAAATTGAGAGTTATTCTCCATTCTCCACAGCAGTACAGGACTATGGTAGTTTCTGAGCAGGTTGCTAGGAGCTAAATATCAATTTAATTTTCTTTATGCCTTGATTTATGTTTAAACCAATTTTTATGTTGAACAGCCATGAAGACAATATTTGTCTCAAAGATCACAGGCAGCACAACAAAGTGTCTCTGTGTTCTGGACTTGTAAAATTAACCATCAGAAAAACTAATTATTGATGATGTTACAATGCTTGCTAAAGTGAATACGTCCCTCTGCTTTCACAACCTATTTTATCCATGGTACTTGGATAAAATATTCTCCATGTCAGCATAGACTCATTTATCTTTCAAAATTACTCCTGTTCTTTATTTGTATTGCAGCTTTGCCCAGATCATCCATCCTCAACACTTTTAGAAAGCCAAGAGGAATGAACAGCTATTAGAAAATCTAGTGAAAATTCATTTGGAAGGGAATGAGCTGTGTTCTCATAGAGCTGCGGTGAAAAATGGTTCAGATTGTAGATCTGTCTGTAATAATATTTTTCATAAAATCCCATTACAAAATGAACATGTGTGATGTCTGGACTATCTGAAACTTCCATCATGTTTCATAACTGTTAGATTAAACTATTCACATAATGACAAATAAGGATATAAAGCAGTGGCACATTATAAGAGCTCCTTTCTTTGAGATTTTGAAATTTCATTTACTGCTTAGTTGTAATGCCCTAAAATTCTTAGTATCATCTCATAAGCATTTTGCTTTTGAAACTTATGTTAGTTTGATAACACTTTGGAAAGTCCTCCAATATAACAAACTACAGATAAGCTTATTACTTTGCAAGTATTGAGATTTTTTTCAGTATATATTTTTTTTCACTGTGAGACAAAGCAGTTACAAATTTTCTTATGCAAATATGTGAGAAATCATGCTTACCACTGATTGCAGAAAATTATGTTTTTCATTAATAAAACTGAGTAAATTCTTCTAAGAAACACATCAGTGATGAAACTAGACTTTCATCCTTTTAATCTGTAATGGTGTGTAAAATTATTCATTTAATTTCAGTATTATTTTCTTTATCATAACAAAATTGAGAAGGAAAGTTGGTATTCTTTTAACAAGAATGGGACGAAATATTTTCATGCAATGGTTTAAAATGGTGTAAATTGCTTCTTCTTAGTATTACAGATGAAAACCTACAAACATTATTATTTTATAAGAAAATAGACACAATACAGAACAATTTAATGTATTGTGTATGAAGCACTTATCACTCAACTTTTGGATGGGTCTTTTGTCTTATGTGAAATATAATTTTAAGGAACTTGCTCAACCCAAGGTGAAAACTTTTAACAGGAGTTTTTAAGGACTTGTAATTGCCTGTGGAAGAACGTACTGAGAGGCTTGTTTGACAACAATTCCTGTTACGGCAGACAGCACAATGCATCGCCCTTGAAATAAAAGAATTCAGAGACGGGTAAGTATAAAAGTCTAAAGAAACAGAATTGTTGTTTCTTGTGTCTGACTTCAATTACTTGTTATTATCTTCATTTTCCTCCTTCTGAATCACCTATGTCCTTAAATTTGACAGCAGAAAAGAAGAAACAAGTTGACCTCTTTGACTTAGATCAGAGAATCTCCTTCCAGAAGAGAACTGATGAAGGGTTCTCTTTCCTTCTCCTAACAAGCAAAATGAGACTGCCAATGTGGAGGACATATTTATAACTTTTCTGTGATCTGTTACAGACTGTCTGTAAAAGCCAACCGACAAAATGTTATAATATATTTCTATTTATAGCTTAATTCTTCCACGGGGAAGATTGGAAGGTACTTCCAAGACAAAGAGGTAATTAACATCAAATACAGAAGAGTCTGCAGAAAGTACATGGTATGTGCCTTCACAGTTTCCTAAGTTTTTGCACAGATAACATAAAAAGTAGCACAGCGTGTGGAAAAGAGGTTGCAGTCTGGTTGGAGTCTACCTGGCAGTAGGAATAAATACAGTGGAAGCAGAAATCCTGACATTCCTACCCACAGCTAAAATACTTAGACCAAGTGTGATTTTAATTTAATTGAGAATCAAACTGTATCCATAACAAAGGAGAACAATTATAGGTAATCTGGACCTGTAGGCAAACAGAAATCAAGCACAATGATGCTGTAGGCCAATAATTTGTTCTGATGTCTCTAGCCAGCCCCTTCATTCAGAATGGACTAAGACAGAGCTTCTGGAAGATGAATTTTTGTGACAGCTTTATGGGAAAGATTATTTCAGCAAAGCCATGAGCTGTCCATTTTCTTAAAAAGAGCTGTTTTCCTAAGAGTCTTTAATAGATACAAAGGTTTCCTCCAGCTATCTTGGCTTCAGTCTTTCTAAGAGCCACAATTTAACAACTCTTAAAAACTTGGATTCCTAGTATTCCTCCAGCATTTTGACTCTTATTTCAGCCTGGAGGAGACATGGACATGGTTTTATGAGCAATGAATAAAACCAGAGTTGGGGTGAAATTCCACGCTGAGGTATCTAAGCCTAGATGGCTAGGTGTAGACTAGGTGTCCAGGCTTTCCTTACAGGAATTGTAGACTTGTGTCTGTATTCAGGTGGTGATGTATGGCTTCTAATGCTGTTTGTAAAGTTCTGAAGTATGTGAGATGTCTGCATTGGGCTGACAGATATGACACAGGAGCCACAGCACCCCAATGCCCTCATGGAGTTACAGCATGAAGCCAGCTCTTACAGATGCACAGGGATTTGCTTGTGGAAATCTGAATGGAGCCAATGTCAGCTGATAAAATCAAAAGCCTCTATAACATTGTTTTGCAAACCTTTATGTAGGTGTTCATCTGATTAAATTGGACATAATCTCCAGGTTTCATCCACAGGTCCACACAGATACTTTTGAGTGTATTAATAGAAATAATACTGTTCACAAACACATGAATTAGCTCCTTGATTTTCCTACAGAAAGCAACACCAAATTCTGTGGTTTGATTATTTTGAGAAGTGAATTTAGGAATTGGCAGATAGAATAGGAATAAATTTGCCCTACCTTAAGTGTCTGCGCACCAGTGGAGAGTATTTTCATCATTATATTTCATAGAGAGAGCTAGGATTTCAGTACAGGAATTGTTTACCTCAGTACCCTGCTGCCACATGGGACCAGGCAAGGTATCTGAGAGTCCAAAGTTCTAAAGGGTCTCCAAGAAACTTGCGTCCTTTTAGGCTGGCAGGTGAGTCTGGATGGAAACTCCTAATCAATCTAATACAATGCTAGGTGCTTAATTATCCTTCTAGCTGATCCATGAAGTGTTTGCCCTGAGATGTGTTAGTCTTAGACACATACTTCTAGTAAAATGCAGTCTTACAGCTGTTTGATTTTGCTGTAAAAAGCATGACTGTGCACTGAAATACCAGTTTTGCACATTATCCCTCTTTGAATTCTTGACTTTTGATTTTGACTTTGGGGACATTATGATTTAAACAGAATGAACAAGGAAATAATGAAGTTTACAGCTGTTTGCAAGCTCTGCTAGAGTGTTAAAATAATAACCAATCAGCTTTGGCATGCTGTATCTGTGCAATATTCACACTTCTGTGAGTGTTGCTCCTTTTTGCACTGACTTGGTCATTAGACATGTTTGGTTATGCTCTATTAACTATAGTTGGGGGTACCAGCTTTGGGACCCAACTTTGCTTATAGAGGCAGAAGGTGTCATGATTTTTCCTAAGGTGTTTTAAGTCTGTATATACAGGGCAGACAAAAGAGGGCAGAGAAGGAGCATATGTGAAATGATTCTCTTTCTTCAAGACATGGTTGTAAAAGTTTGTTTCATCTGGTCTCTGCTTCAAGAGACAGATTCATTGCAAGACCAACCACACAGCACTCTGTCTGTGGTGCATTACAGAAGCTGCAGCAGGAAAAAGTTGCCCAAATCCTCCTGTAATGTAGTTCTGCTTGCTAGGAGTCTCAAAACTGCTAAGGATTACACCACACGGTTGATGTCCAATCCTAGTGGAAAAGCAAATAAAAAAAAGTTAATCCTAACAGAAAACTTTGCATTGTACCTTAAAAGAGATGGTGTAAACTTCCATGCTTTTTGTGCTCCTAGAGCTCAAAGGATAACTTTGTTTATGCAGCTGTAACAAGAACTCTGCTGAGATGAGAGTAAATAATGCTGCCTACTCTGAAATAATAAAATGATGATGAATCCAGAGCAACCATCAAATATTTATGGAAAAAATTCCATTAAAATTCTTGTAAGTATGATACATGAACATTTATTTTTAATGTTTATTATTTAAGTTTGTTTTAAAAAATTGCTATTTTTCCTGATATCATTAAATAAATAAGTAGAACTAAATTGAAAGAATAACAAACAACTAGGTAAAATATTTTCATTATGCAATCAACAAATCCTAGTAAATATTTGTATTAACTTATTAAACTTACAAGATAAAATGTAAGACAAATGCTTGTTTCATGCCATCATCATTCCCTGCAGTGCCCCTTTATGCTGGCTTTAATGTAGGATGAGCTATCTTAAATTCAAGGGAGGAAATTTCTAGAACATTCAACTGTTTTGTGTACCTTACTAATCCTGTTATATTGTGTAAACATTTCTGTGATAGTGTCTATTTTCCAGGGGTTTGCAACACAGATATTAAGATTTATCCTGTGCTGAAAATACGTTTTATCATTTCATACAGACAGGAATTTTAGGTACTTAAAGGTTACCATATGTTTTATGCTATATGAAAAATGCAGTATAAATTTAATATAAAACAAGGGATTTATTTTTAAGTGTAAGTTTCAAAAAGTTTATTAGCATCAAAGAATGCACACTTACACACATGAAAAAATTACAATAAATACTTAAAACAGATGTATAAAATGGATATTTGAACCACAGTAAAAATCTTCCATTTTTAAGAGAATTTTGCCCTGCAGTATATGCATTGTAAACTAGTAACTACAACTGAGCTTGGGCTAGTCTGAGACTAGGGCTGGGTGTGTGGGAGGGTTCTGTGGTGGTGAGTGAAGATAAGAAACAAGAAAAAGCAGTGTAAAGAGCATCGTGTTTTATGTTGTTTCCTCCCACTGCAAGTCGTGAGCCTGTCCTTTGGAGTGGGCTCAGGTCTCCAAGATTTGGCCAAAAATTTTTCATGCCAATAAGAGAAATATTGAAATTAGCAAATAGGGATTGGATTTTTTATTCTCTGCACACTCAGAGTTGACATGATATCTTCGCTTTAATTGTGCAAAGAATGAAAGATTTCTGTCCTAAAAGCAGACATTAAATGTAGCATAAGAAGCATTATATTCCAGCATCATAGTAAGCGGACAGAACTTGGTATATGGAAGAGAATTCCAGAAGAAAATTCAAATAAGCTAATTATCAGGAAAGAACAGATTTGAAGAACTGATTCAATTCACCAAGATGACTTCCTATTGTAAGGATTCAAAGAGGAGAAAAAATGACCTATCTAAATTGATGAGATAGTCAATTTTAGATTTTTGCATATAGACACCATTATCAAAAAAGAGGAGGTGGGCATGGAGGGAGAGGCACAGCAGGTTTCACAGTAGGATTCTTCTGTGTGTAACTTGAATAGAGACTCAATTCAGCCAGTCCACTATATTATCATAAGTGCCAGTTCCTTCTGTAATGTAATTAAAAATACTTCTCATTGACATTGAGGATTGTAAGAGCAGGGGAAAGACAGTAATATGAAAGGGAGATCAGCCCTCCAATAGCAATAGTCAAGGGGAAATAAAAAATAATCCTCAAATTTATTATTTCAAGAAAAAAATGTTTGAAATTGTACATTCCAAATGAGATATCCCATGACGCTTTCCTTGTCTGATTCTTTGACAGCTGAAAAGTTCAGCTTTCACAGGTAAATTTCACTAGATTAATTATCAGGAAGAAAAGAAAGGTACAAACCCCCCACTTGTTACTCTTCATGTTCATTTCCAGTCTGTGGTAACCTGATTCTCTTACTGGGAATACACCAAGATGTTCTGCAATGTAAAACAAAAAATTTCCAATGGAGTGTAATGTTGAGTTTATTGCTCACATTCTTCAATCAAGAGATGCCTAGAAGAATCCTAAAACACAAAAGGATGAGACATTATTCTTGTGTGTATGTTCCCTTAGAATTGTGTTTCCACTTTTGCAAGGGCTGTTACCATTTGATTAAGGAAAATACTAGCAATAATCCCTTAAAAAGAATACTGTTGGGTTTTTTATAGTATTTAAGAAATTTAATGCATCCAGTCCAGGATTTTCTGGAAGAATTCAAATAAAGGTGGATTATAAATGCATTCTAGAATTCTTGAAAAAGAAGATAAATTGGGAAATCCTAACACTGAAGTGTTTTTATTCTAGCAAGCTACATATGACCCCATGCGGTATTCTAGCACAAGACTTGTAAATGGAGAGACAGACCCAAAATCTTTAATAATATTGTATTGGCAAAGTTTTTTCTGTCCCAATGTTGCAGGCTTTGCAGGAGCACACATTGTAGGAGGCTTGCATTGAAAGAACATCCTCTAAATGGAAAGAACAAAAATGTCAGTTATATATTGTTCTGTTAGACAAAAGCATCAAAACAATCACCTCAGGTCTCAGCTTCCCAGTGATTAGTTTTTCAGACATCCAGTGACAGATCTCATTTCTTCATTTGTCCATTTTTATTACCAACGCCTTGCTCCAATGTCTGTTAAAGGGCCAAAAGATAGCTTCAGCCATCTTGTCTAATTGGGATATTCTCAGCAACATGTCATTTTTCAAAGCATTTAACTTCCATAAGAATTTTTGTGTATTTTAAACTGGCATGCTGCAGGTTATAGGGAATGAGGGAACATCAGACTGATGGAGTTCTGCAGGGCTCCATCTTAGGCCTGGTGCTCTTCAACATCTTCTTAAATGACTTGGGAACAGGACAAGAAGGGATACTGAACAAGTTCACATATGATACAAAACTGGGAGGAGCTGGTGACTCCTTTGAAGGCAGAAAGGCCCTGCAGAGAGACCTCAACAATCAGAGGGCTGGCAATCACCATCCACATGAATTTCGATGAGATAAAGAGATGAATTCTGTACCTGGGACAGGACAGCCCTGGATGAAAACACAGACTGGGGAATGAGATGCTGGAGAGCTGTGCCCTGGAAAGGGGTCCTGGCAAGTTGAATGTGGGCCAGCAGTGCCCTGGCAGCCAGGAGAGGCCAGCCCTGTCCTGGGGTCCATCAGGCCCAGCATCACAGCCGGGCAAGGGAGGGGATTGTCCTGCTCTGCTCTGCACTGGGGCAGCCCCACCTCAAGTGCTGGGGGCACTACTGGGTGCCACAATATCAAAAAGACATGAAGCTAATAGAGAGCGTCCAAAGGAGGGCAACAAAGATGGGGAAGGGCCTTGAGTTCAAGCCTCATGAGGAGAAGCTGAGGTCATTTGGTCTTTTAAGCCTGGAGAAGAGGAGACTGAGGCGAGACCTCATGGCAGCTACAACTTCTTCATGAGTCAAGGAGGAGGGGCAGACACTGATCTTTTCTCTGGGGTGACCAATGACGGGATCAGAGGGAATGGCCTGAAGTTGTGTCAGGGGAGGTTTAGGTGGATATTAGGGAAAGATTTTTCACCCAGAGGGTGGATGGACACTGGGACAGGCTCCCCAGGGCAGTGGTCACAGCACCAAGCCTGACATAGTTCAATAAGCATTTGGACAATGCTCACAGGCACATTGTGTGACTCTTGGGAATAGTGCTCTGCGGGGCTGGTGGTCGGAGTTGATGATCCTGATAAGTCCCTTCCAAGTCCTCTCATTCTGTGATTCACACACACAGAGTGCTCTGTTGGCTGTACAATCCCTTTCTTAACTCTCTGAGATAAGGAACTACTTTTGTACTAGTTTGTTTTGGCAGAATGTGAAATAAAGCCAATCAAAACAGTGCTTTTTAGGAGGCTATTTTATTGAAGTTTTCATTATAGGTCAGACCTGCATCAGGATGGTGAGAAAAACAGATCACTGAATATTTCGTGAGCGGAAGAAAGGTGGAGAGAAATTATTTCTTACTGATGGAAGAGAAACAGTGGATTTACAACCTGTATTTTGACAATATGAGTGAAATGTACTCATTTGGCTTTGAGCAAGCGGCAGTGCCAGTTTAATTTTCAAACTGTCACTTTTATTCTATTCTGACTGGCATTTTTTGAGCTTTTGTCATGTAAGCTTTCCTTCTGACAGTTTGTCACAGGAAAAAAGTGGAGAGCAGAGACTTCTGCTATGTCTGAATGTGTCTGATCTGGAAATTGAACTCATTTGTGCATTATATGAGAAAAAGGCATGGATGGTCCAGAAATATTACCTCTGTCTTTTCAATATGTATCTTTTTAGATGTTATATATTTCTGATAATGTGAAAATTTGGTGTATTGTAAATTTAGTTTGCCAAGACTATTTTTTTTTAATTCTTGCAATTCATTTCTATAAAACAGGAGAAGTAGGACCTCAGTCAGATCCTTGGATGCTGAAAATTGACAAAGATCTGTTGAATTCAGTGGTGGTAAGCTGATTTACCTCATCAGAAGTGACAGTTTATAGCAGCAAAAGCTGGAAGACCATGCTCCCTCTGGATTTCATGGGGAAAGATGCACAGTTTAAGCAACCAGTGATTTACTGAAACCAGCGCAACAGACTGTGTATTTAACATGTGTTAACTGTGAGGTCACAGGTATGGTGGAAGGTGCAAGCAGTGCCAAAGAGGAAATTTTCCATCTCCCATAATACTTGGTGGTGTAGTTCTCACCTCTCACTCGTTCCGCGTTCTGCACTACGATTACCTCCACACTGTTTGTAACAGTTTGTGAGAAATGCATGCAATACCAACTGACCATAATATCTGTGGAAGTCTGAGAAGGTACACCATAGGTATGGAAGATGCAGCTGTAAAACCATTTTTTAAATATTTTCAAATCTTTAAACCTCCCTAGTTCATCCTTGAATTTTGCAGTGTATCAGTAGTACCTCAGAAGATTAGTACAATCCTTCTATGAAAGGAATGACAATTACAGCAGGCTGTTTAGAGCTGTTTCCAGTTGGGGTTTCAGTATTTCTAAGCACAGACATCTCACAGACTCTCAGTAACCTGTTTTCAGAATGAGAGAAACCTTCTCATGTTTAAATGGAACTTTGATTATTTCAGTTTGTATCCACTTCCTCTTGTGCTGATATTGGGTGCCACTGAGAAGAGTTTGATT